CCCTCTGGTACTGCACCTACTGAGTCCTTTCACACTTTCACACTTGACTCTGGTGCTTCGCGCTCTTTCTTTAGAGACAGCACCACGCTCACGCTGCTCAGTCGGCCTGTTGCAGTCTCCCTTGCTGACCCCTCAGGGGGCCCAGTACTTGCACACTCCTCCACTGTCCTACCGTGTCCTGCGGCCCCGTCGGGCTTGCTGTCGGGACTCCACCTCCCCTCATTCTCTATGAACCTGGTGAGTGGAGCTGACCTCCAGGACGCGTGGGTTGACCAGTTCACCCCTGGAGGTCAGCGTGTGACCCACTGCACTTGCTCTCGGACGGGCCGCCACCTGGCCACGTTCACCCGTCGGCCAGGGTCGAGTCTGTACACACTGACTACTGCGCCTCCTCCAGTCTCTGCGTCTGGTCCGGTAGCCGCGTCCAGTCAGGTGTTTGCTGCCACTTCCAGGTCTAGTCCTGCGCCTGCCTCCTGCTCGTGTCGTCCTTTGGCACACGAGACCCTCCTTTGGCACCACCGCCTTGGTCACCCCTCCCTACCTCGTCTTCGAGGTATGGCCTCCCGTGCCCTTGTCTCGGGTCTACCCAGGTCTCTCCCTCCCCTTCCTCCGGGGCCTGCCCCCACCTGTGTTCCTTGTGTCGAGGGCCGGCAGTGCTCTGCCCCTCACTCCTCCTCGTTTCCTCTGACAGAGGATCCTCTGCAGACTCTTCACATGGACGTGTGGGGCCCAGCCCGCGTCCGTGGACAGAGTCACGAGCGCTACTTCCTCCTGGTCGTTGACGACTACTCGCGTCTGCACTCAGACAGAGGCGGGGAGTTTTCCTCCGACCTCCTGAGAGCCTTCTGTCGTTTGGAGGGCATCCGCCAGACGTTCACGCTTCCGGCCTCCCCGCAGCAAAATGGGATTGCTGAGCGCCGCATTGGCATGGTCATGGATGTCGCTCGTACGTCCATGATTAATGCGGCTGCTCCCCATTTTCTGTGGCCGTTCGCGGTTCAGTACGCTGCGCATCAGATCAACCTTCAGCCTCGTGTCTCCTTGCCGGAGACCACACCTACTCTGCGGTGGACGGGGAAGGTTGGCGATGCGTCCGCGTTCCGTGTCTGGGGATCTCGAGCTTTTGTCCGCGATACTACAGCGGACAAGCTGTCCTCCCGTGCCGTTCCCTGTGTCTTCCTTGGCTTCCCTCCTGACGCACCCGGGTGGCAGTTCTACCACCCCACCTCACGTCGTGTTCTGTCCTCTCAGGACGTCACGTTCGACGAGTCGGTGTCGTACTACCGTCTCTTTCCCTACCGCACTGCCTCTCCCCCCCCCCCGCCGCTCTTCCTGGCACCAGGTACTCCCCTGGTAGACCCCCTCCCCCCTCAGGGTCCTGCCCCCTCAGGTGTGTCCCAGGTAGACCCTGCCGAGCCGGTCGAGGTAGCTGTCGACTCAGGTGCTGCTAGGGGTGCTGAGTCTGGGGGTGCTGAGTCTGGGGGTGCTGAGACTGGGCGTGCTGAGCCTGGGGGTGTGGCGCCTGAGGGTACTGTGTCTGGAGGTACTGAGCCTGCGCGTGCTGCGTCTGGAGGTGCTCTAGGTGTCCCGTCGCGGCGGGAGCCCCTCTCTCCACAGCGGCTTCGTGAGTGGTACTCTCGGCGCTGTCGGGTTGCTGCTGGTGCTGGTGCTGCTGGTGCTGGAGCTGCTGGAGGTGCTGGAGGTGCTACTGGAGCTACTGGAGGTGCTGGCGCTACTGGAGGTGGTGTTGGTGCTGGAGCTGCTGGAGGTGCTGCTGGTGCTGGAGCTGCTGGAGGTGCTGCAGGTGCTGGAGCTGCTGGAGCTGGTGGAGGTGCTGGAGGTGCTGCTGGAGCCACTGGAGGTGCTGGTGCTGCTGGAGGTGATACTGGTGCTGGAGCTGCTGGAGGTGCTGGTGCTGCTGGTGGTGCTGGTGCTGGCGCTGCTGGAGGTGCTGCTGGTGCTGGAGCTGCTGGAGGTGCTGCTGGGACTGGAGACCCTGGGGCTGAGGGTACCGGTTCTGTCTCTGCTGTTTCTGGAGGCGCTGCGCGGCCGCGGCCGTACTTCGTTCCGCTCCTTCAGCAGGTTCTTGGCTCCCCGCCTTCTCCGGGTCCTCCTCCTCCTCCCTTCCTGAGTCCACCGCCGGTCCAGTCCTAGTCGCAGTTGCAGCCGGCCTCTCCGCTGCCTGGTCCTTCTCCTTACTCTGGTCTGAGCGTCGTGAGCCTGAGCGTCTTACGGAGCGTCGTGAGCCTGAGTCTCGTCCTGTGTCGCCTGAGTCTCGTCCTGCGTCGCCTGTCCGTACTGTTCGCGCTGGTCGTGTTTCGCGTCCGCGTCTTCCTCCTGTCCCAGGCACTCACTCTATGACACTGCGTCCTTCTACTGCTCCACAGCGTGTCCCTCTGCCCTCTCCTCCTGCGTCCTCTCTTCCTGACGGTCCGGATCCGGAGTCTGACTCCCTTCGTGCTGCTAGTCCTATTGTCACGCGCTTTCTGGCCACTGCTGTCACTGACCCTCTGTTTGAGTCCTCTCCTGCGTCTGCTCTTGTTGCTGAGCTTGTTGACTTTGCTGCAGCCTGTCGCCTAGACTACGCCGCTAGTCTTGTTGCTGAGTCTGTGTCTGCGTCTGTCTGTCCTCCGTCCGTCGGGGGTGAGTGTGCTCTTGGCACGGACGTCCTTGAGGACAGACAGGAGGACCTTGAGTGTTTTGCTGCTGCTTCACCTCATCTCGTGTCCATGCTGCTTGCCCCTGAGGGAGACCCGGATGCACTAGACATCCCGACCCCGTGCTCTTACGCAGAGGCGATAAAGGGTCCCTACTCCTCTCAGTGGCAGGCAGCCATGGACGCAGAGATGGCTTCCTGGAAGTCCACAGGCACCTACGTAGACGAGGTTCCCCCACCTGGGGCGAACATCGTCAGTGGCATGTGGATCTTCAGGGTGAAGCGGCCGCCGGGTTCTCCGCCTGCCTTCAAGGCGCGTTACGTTGCACGTGGCTTCAGTCAGCGACAGGGAGTTGACTTCTTTCCGACCTTCTCCCCTACCCCGAAGATGACCACTCTTCGGGTACTGCTGCACGTTGCTGCTCAGCGTGACTACGAGCTCCACTCGCTTGACTTCAGCACAGCCTTCCTACAGGGCAGCCTGCACGAGGAGATCTGGCTGCGCCGCCCACCTGGCTTCACTGGGTCGTTTCCTGCTGGTACCCAGTGGAGCCTCCGGCGGCCAGTCTACGGTCTCCGCCAGGCGCCCCGTGAGTGGCACAACACGCTCAGGACGACTCTTGCTGCTCTTGGTTTTGCTCCTTCCACTGCTGACCCTTCTCTGTTTCTACGCACTGACGCTACTCTGCCACCGTTCTACGTTCTTGTGTACGTAGACGACCTTGTCTTTGCTACTGCTGACACAGCGGCACTCGCCCACGTGAAGTCCGAGCTGTAGAAGAGACACACGTGCACAGACCTGGGTGAGCTCACAAGCTATCTTGGCTTGCGGATTACCCGGGACAGAGCACAGCGCACCATTACCTTGACTCAGTCACACATGGTGCAGCAGGTCCTTCAGCGCTTCGGCTTCACCTACTCCTCGCCACAGTCCACTCCTCTGCCTACCGGTCACTCGCTCTCAGCTCCACCTTCGGACGAGTCCATAGAGCCGAGTGGCCCGTATCCAGAGCTTGTGGGCTGCCTCATGTACCTGATGACTTGGACACGACCTGAACTCTGGCTTGCTACGCGGCTCCCGGCAGGCACCGAAAGGTGCACTGGGATGCTGCAAAGAGGGTGTTGCGATACTTGGGCAGTACATCGGGCATGGGGCTCGTGCTTGGAGGACGGGCTCGAGTGGTCCTTACTGGTCACGCTGATGCCTCCTGGGTTGACGACTTGGCTACACAGCGGTCGTCACAGGGTTACACCTTCAGCAACGCGCTTGACGGCAGTGAGGACGGCCTCGTCATGGCGCACAGGCGGAGCCAGCTGACCGCGAAGGTGGACGTCGATGACTCCATCATCGCCAATGGCTTCTTTGGGAACAACTGCCAGGAGCCCGAATCCGACGAGGAGGAGTAGATTTTCTAGGTAGAAATGCTTAACTTAGCAATCTGTAGTTAGATAAAACTGTCAGTGATGATGTTGTAGGTGAAAAGTTATCATGCTCATGTTTAGTGTTAGTTGTTGATGTTTTTTTTTTGTAATGAGACCTCCACAACGTGAAAGGGGTGCGCTTATAATAAGTTCACCCTCTAGAGGGGGGGCGCTTATAATCGAGTTCCGGCCATAAGCGCCATGCTCCAGATAGAAGCGTCGGCGCCCTTAATCGGACGGCGCCTATATCCGGGGCCATACGGTATCAATGGCCTAGGTGCTAGTTCCATTGACGTGCCACTTTTAATGAGTATGTACAGGCGCAAGTGAATCCGCACTGCATAATCCGTAACAAATCTTGTCATAGGTAGTCTTCAAAATTGAAGACTACATACATAAACAATCAGGTTTTGAAAGTTGAGTGTCAATAGCCTTCATTACAGTCATTTATTAAATCATCCGCCTTCTCCTTTCCCTTGGGCAGGCACATGAGCTTGCGGGAGGGCCAGTGGGCCTTCTGGCACTCCCTGCTGCAGTAAGCAGCCTTGCCACAACGTGCACACACCTTCAGCTGCACCCCCTCCCCTTCCACCCTGCCACACTGCACCCATGCACAGCCTCGCGGCCCTCCCTTGCTTCTGCACGACTCAGTTCCGCCCCTCTCACCAGGAGGAGCAGCAGCAGCGGCGGCGGCGGCAGTAACGGCGTCCACCTGAGCCTGGTGGCGGTAGCTGGTCTCCCCCAGCAGCATCTCCCTCAAACATGCCAGAGGATTCACCCCCCCCCGGCCACGGCTCCTGGTACGATGCCACTGCCTTCCCCCTCCGCCCCTCCCCACTCCCTCCCCCTCCGGCTTCCCCATTTCCCCATCCCTCATTCGCACCGCTGGCCCCAGCGTCACCAGCAGCAGCGACCATGGATTTTAGTGCCTCCTCTCACTCGCAATAGCCGCATTTCCCCTCATTGCATGCCTCATACCCGCACAACACTCCTCCAACTCCTCCCCGTCCACACCACCCGCACGCCTACCAGCCCCACTCAGCAGCGCCGCCGCCGCACCCCGTGCCTCCATAGCAGGCCATGCGTGCGCAGCCGCCGTGCGCCAGCCATCCACCTCCTCCCACATCCTCCACTCCTCTCCTTCCTCCCCCGTTCGCCGCCGCCCCAACTCCTCCTCACCCTGCCCAACCCAGTCCTGCCCGACCGGTTCGAGAATCTCTTCTAAGAAATCCCCCTTTGCGATGAGCTGTGTGCCTAAGAAGAGCAATTGCAGGCGGTTTTCCTCCACCACGCCTTCCAGCAGAGGACCCACGAGCGAGTCCGGGACCACCGCAGGGACGTGCGGCACGCCTAGAGCGTCCAGGAAGCTTCTGAAGCGTGCGGAGTGCGGCGGGAAGAGTGAGAGGAGGCAGCGCAGCACCGCGGATGATGGTCGGTAGGCGAAGGAGGTGACGAGAGCCGTGAGCTTCACGGCTCGGTAGTATGTGCCAATGCAATGCTGGCAGTGGGTGCAGGCAGGCACGGGCAGAATCCTGCCCGCGAGCATCTCTCTGAAAACATCCACCTGGATTCTGGACCGTAGGATCGGCTCCATCCTTCCCGGAGCGAATTCCCCCAGAGCAAGAGAAGTCCAGCTGCGGTCGCCCAGGCCTAAGCGCCCAATCCAGGTGGTGGTAGCCCAAGCCAGAGGCCTGTTCCTGCCCTCCCTTGCCAGCCTTGCAGGGGCGAACCTTCTAAGAAACTCCTCCACACGGTGGCCCAGCGTGGGGAAGAACGGAGCGCTTACAGAAGCCCCCTGCAGAGTTCAGTAGTCTCAGTGCTCCCGCCTCCAGGGTTGTGGTGCGAGGGGGACGTGATTGAAGAAGTGTTTTGAGACGTATCAAAACACTTCTTCAATCATGTGGCTATTCTTCTGGTTCCTGTAGATTTCTGTTGGCGTGGAAATTACCTTCCCGCTTACGTCGAAGATTGATTCAATCGAGGATGCGACCTGTTGCAGCGAACCCTTCGCGCGACACAAGTGGTTACCCCACTTCTTCGACCCCGGTTTCCAACCACCCTCACAAGATTGGAATCCTTTACGCAAAGGATTCCAATCTTGGTTAAAAGGACAAAAGGACAAAACTATTACGCAAGTACAACAACCCCCTCGGGTTACGCAAAAGGACAAAACTATTACGCAAAGGATTCCAATTTTGTCCAATGTTGTTCACGCAAAAGGACAAAACTATTACGCAAAGGATTCCAATCTTGGTTCCTAGGGATTGGGCTCAAGCTGTCTGCTCCCCTCGACGCCTCTCTTCACATTCGCCTATCATTTCCGTCATGTCCTAGTTAGCCTAGCTTGATCGTAGAGTACTTTAGCCAGTTTGCTTCATTTCTGAGCTTCAGTTTTAGGCTTGTACTGATGAAGGCTTGCAAAAGCCGAAACTAGTTTGCAATGTCCCTGATCCTTTAGTGAAGTTTTTTTTTTTTTAACTAGCTCTCTCAACAACGTTCTAAGCTAAGCACACACCAGGCTCCTTCCGCCATTTCTCATGGAGTTTGTTTCGTTGTCCTACAACAACACGAGTTGATGGAAGTAAGGCCTCCGCAGCCCATCTGTCCTCTTTTGACAGCTCCAGAAGCCCCCTGCAGAGTTGAGTAGTCTCAGTGCTCCTGCCTCCAGGGTTGTGGTTCGAGGGGGGCGGGGCACCCGGGTGGGGCTGCTTCAGCTCCCTGTCTTGCGGGGCAGGTTCATCTCCCTCATGTTGTATTCCTTTCTCATCTCCTCTCTGTCCTGCTCGTCGATGTGACACGCCCCCACGAGCAAAGTATTGATGCCCATGAACTCATGTCCTTCTCATGCCTCTGGTCCTTCTCATGCGCCGCCATTGTCTCCCTGTCCCCCTCTGGAAACTCCTCCCATCCAGTCGCTGCCGAACCTTCCGAGCCTGTGGCGGCTGGAGCCCCGGGCACGGCGCCGAACCTTTGCAGCAGGTTCGGAAAATCGTGCATTGGATGCGGGAGGGCGATGGCTGGCTTTTTCCGGTCAAAACATGCGCAGTCTTCCATGGGGTTGACCTTGAACCCATACAGTCGCACCCACCGAAGCAGGCAGGTGACTCGGAAGGTGAACAATCCCACCACAACGTTACTGTTCACCGGAACTAGCCAGTTGCCACTTGCAGTATCAGATCCCTTGATCGCACCTGTAGACACAGCAGGCGCCGTTGGAACTCCTGAATCTAGTCCTCTCTTCCCTCGATCTCGCACTCTGCTCTCCTCCCCACTCCTCTCCCCCGTCGCCAGCCGGTCCCTTGTATCGGCTGGCAGCACAGTCCGTGAAGATGAGAGAAGCACAGCGGGCGAACAGGGGCTGGGAGAAGAGGCAAGCGCACTTGATTGCGAGCTGGGTGGGGTCTACACCAGGTATCACCATGCCACTGCTGCTGCCACTGATGCCACCGCTGCTGCCACTGCTAGCGCTGCTTTTGGCACTGCTGCCGTTGTTGCCCGGCTGGTTTCCCATGGTCCCAGCCACTCTTTTCTCTGCTCTCCCTCCTTCAATGCACTGTGTGCACGCGCAGCGATACTCCTCCTCGGGCAGCACTTCCTGGGCAGGAAACTCCCCCACGCGCTGCACATACTCCTCCCACTCCACCCTTCCCACGCTTTCCCTCCACTCCATCCCCCCCACTCTTTCCCTCCACTCCTCCCCCCCCAACCTCTCCCTCCACTCCTCCCTACCACCCCCCCCCATTCCCCCGACATTCCCCTCCCCCTCCCGCCTGCCCATGCGCGCCCCTCCCCCCCGACAGCAGCGGCAGCAGGTGGGCAGCGAAGCCAGTCTCCAGCTGCTCCTTCCCCTTCACTCCCATCACCTGCAGAAGCACAGACGCCAAGCATTCGCCCTGCTCCTGCCTCCGTGCTCCGAGCTGCATTGCCAGCGAGGAAAAGGTCACAGCAGCAGACCGGATGTGGGTGCGCCAGAGAGTGACAAAGCGGGGGAATTTGGTAACAAGCACAAGGAAAGAAGCAGTGGACACGCTGAGGCGGTAGCGAGCCCAGCATCCGCTGCACTGCCAGCAGCACCACCACAGCGGGCAAGGGTACGGCGTAGCATCAGTAGCAGCAGAAGTGGCTCCCCGCCCTGCAATAGCTTCCGCTCGCGCAGCAGGCTCTGCAGTGGCGCTGCAGAGGCTCCCTCCCGCACGGTGCTGCATAGGCGCTGCAGCAGAGGCTTTAGGGTGCAGCATAGGTGCTGCTCCCCGTGTGCCACTAGCTTCGGCCCGCGCAGCAGCGATTTTGTTGATCTGCATGATATCTGCCAGCTGGCGCCACACCTTTTGGAGGTCCAGTAGCAGGCTGACACGTGGTTCTGCCAGCCACTCCGGGACCATGGCCTCTGCTGCAAGCACAGGGGCCGCATCCGCCTTCCACTGATACTGCTGCGCCAGGGAAGGCGCTGCTGCTGCTGTCTCGCCCGCTCCCTCACTGGCAGAAGCAGCTGCACCGGCAGCACCAGCACCAGCAGTAGATCTGGCACATGCAGCACGGCCTGGAGGGCGGAGAGGAGGGGCGGAGAGCGGGACAGTGGCAGAATTGGCGAGGATGGGCGCCGTGCGCTTGGTGCCGAAAGGTGGCATGGTGGGCAGCAAAGGGTGCTGCAGGTGCTTGTGCAGCGAGGCGAGGTCTGGGATGTGGAAGGCCACCGGGGGGGCTGGGCGGAGCATGCGGGGGAGGCAGTAGGCGCAGAGGGGATGCGACCTTTGCGGCGCCTCAAAGGTCGCGCTCCCTCTGCTGCTGTGGTGCGACCACGACCAAGGGAGGTGAACTTCTACATAGTGACTTTTGAGTCGACTCAAAAGTCATCTCCCTCTGCTGTGGTGCGACCACGACCAAGGGAGATAGTGCACCATGTGTACCATGTGTGCGCGGGACAGCGGCACGTGCTATGCATGGGAGGGCTTGCCAGAGCTACTGCTGCTGCCCGGCCTGCTGCTGCGACCTTTGATGCTTCCAGGGTTACCGCTGCTGCTGCCACTGCCGCTGCCACTGCTGTTGCCGTTGCCGCTGCCGCTGCTGCTGCCACTGCCACTGCTGCTGCCCGCAGTGGAACTGTTGTTTGTCGTGTTTGTGCCATTAACCGTGGGAGTGGTAGGTGATGCAAAAGTGGAAGACGCGGAAGCAGGTGTAGGCGCAGAGGGAGGGGTGGGCGGAGCAGCAGAGCTTGAAACAGGCAAAGGTGAGATCTCCAGTTGGAGGTTCATGGCGTGGGTACTACACTTAGTAATTGACAGACCTTCTAGTTCTGCAAGTGGGCCACACGCGGTGCTGGCAGCGACCGGTGTGCTATTCCTGACGCAGCTGATGCGATTTCCTGTGTCACCGGCAAGAGAATGCTGACCGTTTCCCTCATTCGTCTTGTATGTGCGCAGCCTTTAGTCTAGACTATGAAGACTAATTAGAGTCTTAGTAGCTTGCATGGGAAGCTCTGGCCTCAACTGTGTGAAGGAATTTGCTGAAAAACATCAAGACAGAAAGTTCCAGTGATTTCATTGAAGAAGGCATACAAAAACAGAAAACGCAAAGCAAGTTATAAGCAAAAGGATTTCTGATTTCGCCCTCGTGCCGCGCCTAATTTCGATCTGAGTTGTACTCGGCTCAATTTCCAAATCCAACCATGCGCCGAACGCGCCTCGAGTTCGAATTTCAGACTTCCTTGGACGCGCCTTTGACCCGGCGTGACTTCTCTTCACTTCACTTGAAATCTCGACATTTCAGCCGTGTCCTTCTCCACGTCTGCACGCTTCCTCTTCTTCACTTCGTTTCTCACCATAGGTTCCGCTGCTGCCGTGTTCCTTCTTCCACCGCCCCAACATAAGTATCTTATCTTCTTCTTAGGTCCTCGCCTTCCCTTAGTCTCATCTCGTCAAGGTAGGTCTTTCTTAGGTCGATGTAGGTCGCTCCAGGTTGTGCTAGGTCGTGGTTAACTAACCACCTTCAACAATCTCCCCTGTGGTTTGCTAACCACCAGCTTATGCACTCTCCCTCGTACGTTTCACCTTGAACCATCTCTAGGCCTGCTCCACATTCCCATGCAATTCAGCCAAGGTACGTATTCCAACCTCTCTCTTGCAACGCTCAAAGTTAGCCCTTAGTAGCACCTTAGTCAGAAAATCTGCCGTCTGTGCCTCCATACGCACGAATTCAAACGTGAACTCCTTGCTACTCACCTTTGAGCGCACCCAATGATACTTCACGTCCATATGCTTGGTCCTGCCATGCCAATTGTCGTTATGAGCCAAGTCGATTGCAGATTTGCTGTCCGTGCGAATCACCTTTGGCCCTTCCACCTTGATTTCCATTTCCTTGAGTAGCCTTCTCAGCCAAACCCCCTCTTGGCATGCGTAAAACAGCGACATGTACTCCGCTTCCGCACTAGAGAGCGATATGTCAGCCAACGTTTTTGCTTGCCACATGATTGCTGTCCCGCCGAGCAGAAACACGTAACCGTATGCTCCCTTCCTTGTTTTCTTGTCGGATGTGTGTGAAGCATCCGCATACCCCACTAAATCCAGGGTCTCTTCACCTCCTTCAAATAGCAGCCCCTCATTTTCATGTTGCAGGAGGTAGTCGATGGTCCTCCTCATCTCTCTCCACTTTCTCTCCCTTGCTGCTGCACTTGTTGCCCAAGGTAGCTAGCTGCGTATGCCATGTCAACACGCGTGCATGAAACAGGGTACATTGTGGACCCCACCATGGACTGGTATACCTGTAGAGCCCTCTCCTTGCTACCCCATTGGTTGACATCTTCCTCTCGTTCACCGTCATTTTCAGCTACCCCACTCAATGGTGTAGAAATCGCCTTCGTGTAGCCATTTCCAAACCTCTGCTGCACCCTGCTGCAATATTTCTGCTGGTACAGAAACATCTTCTTCTCCTGATTCATGCCGAGAAAGAGTGTGGTCCTCGGAATCTGCTTCACTTGAAAAACTTCCGCAAGGTGAGTGCACAACTTCTCTACCTCCTCCTCTAACGCCCCTGCCACCAAGATGACATCCACGTATAGCACCAAGAACACCTTCTCCTTCCCTTCTCCTTTCCAGTAGAATGCCCTATCACACTCACTTTTCTGAAATCCCCCTTGCAGTAGCTGCTCATCCATCGCCATATACCACTCCCTAGGACTTTGCTTCAGCCCATACAGTGCCTTGTTGAGCTTGCATTTTCTGCCCGAACCATCGTCATGCCCTGGTGGTTGCTCGAGGTAGATGTCCTCCTTCAGCACCCCATACAAGAAAGCATTTTTTTTATGTCCAGCTGCACCATGAAGTATTTCCTTGCTGCTACCACTTTGAGAAAGACCCGTGCCGTTGTCAACTTGCTCACTGGAGCATAGATTTCGTTCTGGTTGTAGTCCTTCCCCTCCACCTGAGTGTAGCCCTTGGCTACAAGCCTTGCTTTGAACCTTTCCAGCTGCCCCATATCTCCGGTATTGATCTTAAAAATCCACTTCACCCCCACGGCTTTCCTCCCTTCCGGCATAGGTACGAGCTCCCATGTGCCCATTTCAGCCAATGTGTTCAGCTCTTCCTCAATTGCCGCTTTCCACCGCTCCCTTTCTGGACCCTCTAGCACATCCTCGATGCTCACTGGTTCTTTGGGCAGGTTGTGAGTCACCTTTCCTTCATTGGAGACTAGGTCAGTAGCTGTGGCAGAGAGTAGGAAGTGGGTATGGATGTCCTTCCAGCACGTCATCAGCAGTTACGCATACCGAGGGTTTGCTTTCTTCACCCTCTTTCCTCTCCCCAACTCTTCTGCAGGTGATTCGACCTCATCCTCACTGGAATCCGCCAATGCTTTCCCTTCTCCATCCTTCACTTCCCTTCCAATCACGATGGCGCCCTCCTCAAGTAAGTCCTCTATCTCTTTCATCTTGGCATTGTTGTCATCACTGTTTAGAAGCTTCCAAGGATCACTATCTCCTTCAGCCGGTGATTCTTCATCTCCCTCTTCTCCAGCTACTTCATTGCTTGGCTGCTCCCCTGCTATCTCCACTCCATCGATTTCATCCGCTTCACTGGTTGGTGCCTTCTCCCACACCCAATCAACTGAATCTGCCCGTTCCACATCTTTGAGTTCCTCATCCCTTCATCTCCAACTCCCTCACTCTCCTTTTCCTCCAAAAGATCCTCCACCTTGTCCGGTGTAGTTGCTGTCCCTTCTGCCGCAATCTCTTCCTCTACTCCCTTCCACTGCATGTAGTTCACCTCCTCGTAGAAGACAACATCCCGGGTGATCGTGACCTTTCCTGAAATTACATCCTTGATCACCCACCCCTTGCTCACCGGGCAGGTACCGAGGTTAATCCCCCAATGAGCCTTGGGCAGCAACTTATGATCCGGACCAGCTGGCTCCCTGTATTGCACCATACTCCCCCACACCCGTGCAAACCCCAGATTCGGCTTCCTGCCATAGAAGGCCTCGTGAGGAGTCATATCTGCCCGAAGTCCCTTGGTAGGTAGGCGGTTCTTGGACCAGCAAGCCATAGCCAATGCATCACCCCAGAATTTCAGTGGCAGCCCACTGTCGGCCAGCATGCTTCTCACACCTTCTAGTAGAGACCGATTCTCTCGCTCCGTTATGCTGTTATGCTGTGGAGTGTAGGGTACAGTCAGCTGCTGTCGGATACCCTTGTTCTGTAAAAACTTGTTGAACAGCTCACCGGTAAACTCCCCGCCATTATCTGTCCTAAAAAATTTCAGCACCTTCCCACTTTGCCGCTCCGCTTCCGCCATCCAAGTCACGAAGCTAGGAAAAACTTCTGCCTTATCTTTCAGCTCCGTCACCCATGTGTGCCTCGTTCCCAAATCAGCAAAGGTAACAAAGTAGCGGCTGCCGTGTCGTGACGCCACCCTCATAGGCCCACACACATCGGCTGCTACGATGTCCAAGGTGCCATAAGGCTCCTGCACCTGGTGGTGGGGATGTGGGGATTTTGTGATTTTACCTTCAACACACTTGCTGCATTTTCCCTTGATTTCAGGCCCCTCCTTCAGTGCCACACCTTTTACCATGCCCTTTTTGACCAACTCCTTGACCCTATCCATGCTTGCATGCCCCATGCGTCTGTGCAAGGTTTCTAACTCCACTTTCTCCACCCCAACCACCATGGCTGAAGCTTCCTGCTGAAGCTCCTTCACAGGTAAGCCACCAAGCTGAGCCTTCAACTCCTCCCTAGCTAGGTCCCCTTTGAGTGATGTCCGGTAGGTGGCATTCTCATCCTCCAGCCCCTTCTTACCCAGCTCCATTTCATACAACCCCTGATTTCTGTTCCCTTTTGCAACCACCTTCCAATCCTCATTGAAAACCCACAAATTTCCTTTGATTGAAGAATTGTTTTGAGACGTCTTCAATCACGCAACTTTCCTTTGTCGCTGAAGGTCTTGCACCCTGTGCTGTCAAGTTGAGACTGGCTGATCAGATTCAGTGAGAGCTTCTCCACTAAGAGAACATTTTCCAGCTTCAGCTCCCCGTACTCTCCTTGGAGTAGCAACTCTCTTTCCCCCTTCACAATCAGCTTCCCTTCATCCCCCAAGAGCACATACGGTACGTTGGAGTCCCCCAGATTTGTAAGCCACTCGCAGTGATTGGTCATGTGCTGAGTGCACGCACTGTCCATGAACCACGCTGCTTCACCGAACCCTTTTGCCACCAAACACACCCCCGA